GGGGGGTATAAACTGTTGATACGGACTGTTAAGCACTATTATCGAAAGTGTTCCGCTAGTGCCGCCCTCCTATCTTTTCCTCTCTCCTTCCTTTCACCCACTTTCCAAAAATTTACGTAAGCGCCTCAAGCCCAAGCTGGCAGAATTTTCTCTCACAATGATCCCCATCTCTCTTGACCGGAGGTTGACACTTCCGAAGAGAGAGACACAGGAATGACCAGTGCAGACGTCTTGTGTAATGTTTGTTAGAGGGCTTACACTTACAGGACAACGCACAGATTGCTTATCAGAACAGACTAGTCACAACTCAAACTTGGACAGTGGGGAGGGGGTGGGGGGTGGGGGTCATTATAGTATAGAAGGTTAAGCGTCCAACTAGTAAATCGTAGGATCGTAGGTTTGACCCCCAGTTCAGTCCAGTGAGATATTCAAATCTTTTGGGAAAAGTTCGTTAGCCTCTGTTCTCCTCTTGGATGAAATGTTGGTAGCCGACTGAGATTGAAAAGTTGGAAAGACTGGTTTCAAGTTTGTATGGCTCTCGTGGGAATTAAGAAAAAAGTATAACTGAAAAGGCCCGTCAAGGGGCTACTGTGAAGTTCTGTACATGAGGCTTAACTGAAGAGGGATACAAGTTTCAGACTATAATTATTACGCCTATTTATTCAGAGTAGAGAGATTATCTGACTTTGTAACCACGAATCATTTAAATTAACCGACTGGTGTTTCGGGGTTAAGCTAGATAACAATTTTCTCTACTCCTTCCATTTCCAAACGATTCACAATGTATTCTTGAAGGTTGTGAAATAAAAAAAGACATTACTCCTACCTATTTACTGGTGCGGATGGAAAAGGGGAAAAGAATAAAAATGTTCTTTCATGCGTGTTAGATCAAGTCAAAAAGATGGGCAAGTGAAATTGAGTAAAATAATGAAAAGGGAAAGGGACAAATGAGGGAAGAGAAATTGAGGTTATGAAAACTGAGAGAACAAAATTAAAACGATAATGGCCAAAGAAAAGACAATGCTTTTTCTTTAATGAATTACGACCAAAAATGATATATATA